AAATTTGAATCCCACCCCTGGGTCAGTTTATTCTCCAAAGGACCTGAAGGCAGGATAAGAAGCAACGGATGGAAACTAATCAAGGAGAGAAGCAACCTAGAACTAAGGAGGAATTTCCTGACAGTGAGAACAATGAATCAGTGGAACAACTTGCCTCCAGAAGTTGTGAATGCTCCAACACTGGAAGTTTTTAAAAAGATGTTGGATAATCATTTGTCTGAAGTGGTGTAGGGTTTCCTGTCTAAGTAGGGGGTTGGATTAGATGACCTCCAAGGTCCCTTCCAACTCTTGTTATTCTATTCTATTCTATTCTATTCTATTCTATTCTATTCCATTCCATTCCACTCCACTCCACTCCTCTCCTGTCTCCCCCCGTTCTTCTCTTCCCTAGTAGCCAGGCCCAGTTCCTGCAACCGTTCATCGTATGTTTTAGCCTCCAGTCCCCTAATCATCTTGGTTGCTGTTCTCTACACTCTTTCTAGAGTCCCAACATCTTTTTTGTAGTATGGCGACCAAAACTGGCTGGAGTATTCTAGGTATGGTCTTACTAAGGCTTTATAGAGTGGTATTAGTATCTTATTAAATAATTTAAGGTACCTTAAATTTATTGTATAGCCTTAGGTAAATGAGCTGTACACTTCATGTGTTTGTATTGGCTTATGTTGCACAAGGCTTATTGCAGTAATGCCAGCCTAGACTTAGGGAAGTATTACACAGAAATGCACTATCCCTGCTAATAGTTTCCTGTAAAATGAGCCTGAGAAGTGCAACTTTATTTCTCTTCCATTTCAGTCTGTTTGGGACCCACCCAAAATAAACAGAAAAATAAAACCTTACTAGGGTAAAAGGATACCCAAAATTCTGCTGTCTGTTTAATTAACATCTTAGTTTTGAAATGACAAAATTTCAAATCAGCCTAGTGATGGAACTTGACAAAACGGTAATGCAAGGTGAACCCAGGCTGCTGATGATAGCAATTTATTATTTCAAACATTCATTTCGGTTTTCAGCAATCTGCTTGACAGAGCTAAAAATAGGGAGTGGCCTCCAAATCTCAAAATGCATGGTGACTACATAATCTCTTCTGCTCTTCATCCTTATAGGTGTCTTACATTGGCCAGGACTGCAAAGCAATTCCAGAATTCCTTGGGACAAAATACGGACCCATCGCAAAAAGGTTGGACCTCAGTTTCAATTTATTAAGGTAGGACACACATGTAAACGGACAGCTATCATTTATTAGGAAGCTAGGTTTCATTGGGTTGCCTGGTTGGGGTGTATTTGAGCTGGAGGTATCAGGGGGGATCTGTTTGTGCCCAGGTGTTTGCCTGGCTTGTGGTGTGGAGATTTTTTTGTTTGAGAGTTCAGGCTTCCAGATAATTGACAGTCTGGTGGAATCATCTCTTCTATTCATGCTTTCGGGTCTTTATTCAATCTCTATAGCTTCTCTGATAATTTTGTGGCTGGGGTTTTCTATAGTGGCTAGGGTTTTGGTGCCATTGAAGTCGATGCTATGACCTGTTGCTTTCATGTGTTGGACTAGTAAGGAAGTGTGTTCCAGCTTTTTTACTGCATTTTTGTGTTCATCTAGGCGGGTACTTATTCTTCTATTGGTCTGTCTTTACATATGGGAGAGTATTAGTCAATGGATTGCTTGACCCAGTGGTTATAGCTCAGCTTAAGTTGCATACATTTTTAAAAACTTGTTTGTTACTGGGTTTTGCTAAAAGAACACAATGAGAATTGACAAATAAATAAATAATAATAATAGAAGAATGGATTCCAGGAGTGGAGGAAAACAAACTGATTTAAAAGATTCAGAAAAAGACCCGTTTCTTTAAAAAGCACAATTTCCTTCTTTTTGGAATGAAGAGTTTTTTGAATATGAATTACACCCCAGCTATGGAAATAATACCTTTTTTGTATTTGGGTTCTGAGCAGAATTTGTCACCCTGTTTCACCCTGGTCAGCCTTGTAGAATTTGACTTCTCTGCTTAAACCAAGATCTTCAAACCCTTTAGAAATACTTGAGCACCTCAGCTTGCATCCCACCTTCAGATTATGCCAAGAAGGAAACCAGAAGCTCCCACACATGTCCCAGAGCCCCCAAAGTCGAAACTGAGGCTGGGGATTGGGTGATCTGCTTTCCCCCACATCTTCTCTTCCAAAACTGAGCTGGAGAACAGCAGTTCTTTATATGGTGACCTCGCTACCTTTAATTGCTACTGGAAGAGTTGGCTTTTCCTTCCCAGAATTGGAATTTACAGCTTAAAAGTTCTACCGGCTAGTTTAGCCTTTGGTTGATATTGGTATGATGATGTGATTGCCAGCTTGGGAACTGACCTGCCACCACAAGAACTATGGCCAGGTAGAAGCTGTGGGAAGGAGGTTCCCTCATGGCTTCTCAAGAACTTTTTATTTTGGGGGTACCCCTGGGATGCGTTGATCTTCTAGAAGACCTGTGTTTGGTCTTCCATCAGACTGATATTCCCATGTTTAAACTTCCCAAACACTAAGGAGATTTCTCTACAATCACAGTCAACATGGCCATGGACCATCTGGATGAGAGTGGATGGTATAGTTGAATCCAGCAGATTGCTGGTCTTTGAAGGTTCCTTGGACTTTCTCTCCAAGTATCCTAGAATGTCTACCTGGGTCTTGTGTTGGGTAATAAAGGGAATATCCACTGGCATGCTCAAATGTTTTGGAATGATAAGACTGGTGATGACTAGGCAGTTGAATGAGGACAGATCCTCTGCAAATTGTTAGAAATATAGAAACACTAATGGTACAAAACGACCTAGTGGTTCTTCTTTGAGCTTGCTTTTTGTTTTGTTTTCGATTTTTTTTTTTTACTTATTCATTTGTTTACGGATGTATTTATTTTTAATTATTCTTTTTATGATTCATTTGTTTTATTTATTTTTTTAAAAAAAATGGTCAGAAGATGGACATGTGTTTATCCCAATCATGTTTAAACTCAGTTACTGATGGTTGGCCCACTATTTCCACAAGCTTCTGTTACTCTTTTGGTGAAGTCATCCTTTCTAACATGGTTTTTGAACTTCCCTCCTGTCAGTTTGAGGTTACGTTTCCAAGTTCTTGATTTTTGCTTGATGTGTGTGTGTGTGTGTGTATGTGTGTGTGTGTGTGTGTGTATGTGTCTCCATGCTACAGCAGTTGCAGTATATGGTTGAGCTCTTAAAAACTCATATATTTTGGGAGGTGGTGGTGGTTTCTGGACTGTTTTCCTTAGCAAATGATTTACAAACAAAGCTTCGGTCAAATTATTTGCAAATGAGAATGAGATTCTAGTTTGGTCTGAGCTTCAGCAGGAAATAACGATATCTTGATGTGCATGAAGATAGGAGGCAAGGCTTATAATTGCCTGTTTGTGTGCTGGTAAGCGGTGTGTGTTTTATGGATAGGAATTACACTATTATACAACGTGCAATTGTTTCTGTGGATTACTTAGATTAGTTTGTATAGCATTCGTTGGCCATGTACTCCTTAGTCATAGTTCTGAGAGATATGGTGGCCTCTGATTTTTATTGCAAATTAAAACAACTTCCATGTTTTATTGGTCTATCTGAACCATGATGAATGTACCAAATGTCTTTTGTCATTACCTTTCTTCTTTTTCTTTTTTGGATAATTCAACTTATCCTTCCTTTTAATTTAATTTTTCAAGTAATGTAAAGCAGGATTGGGATCTTGCTCAATCAAGAGATTTGTTAGGGTTCCTGGAAGTCTTGAAGTGAAAAGAAAAAACAAACAAACAAATTGACATTACCAGTAGCAGCTATATGCGTTCCTCATTCGATGTTTTTCAGAGAAACAAACAGGCTTTGCTTTTAGGGGAATGGGACTGGATTCACCCCTGCCTTAACCTGCTTAAAAACAGTGAGAAAATAGATCTGAATTAAAATGCATTTTATATTTAGCCTGAGTACAAGGTATGAAAATGGATATGATATGATAGTAGCTGACATAACGTTCTTTGCAGTGGTGGGATTCAAACAGTTTGCACCACTTTGGCTGAACCGGTTGTTAAATTGCTGTCTGGCCCTTCCCTCCTCTCCCCCCACCCCTTCCAGAAGTCCCCACACATCCTATTTTTGCTCCAAGGTAAGTACAGGGAGGCCCACTAGGGATACGGGGGTGGTGGTCAGTGCCCAGTTTTGCTCCCAGGGGTGTGCAGGAGGCTAAGTGCTGCCTGTCACACCCCCTGGCTATGCCCACCATGGCCACGCCCACCCACCCGGTCATTAGGGCAGAGAACCAGTTGTTAAATTATTTGAATCCCACCACTGGTTCTTTTGTGTCACACAGTTTTAAAAAGAGAAGTGCAACTTAAGGGAAGTTAGGCACGTTTTAAGGCAGTGCAATAAAATAGGCCAGGAACCTAAACGACTCTGTTTCTTCTTCCAATAGCATGTTGTGATGTGATGTGGAAATCTCCCTTTTCTTGGGTACAGGGGGTCCTTGACATGTCCATTTATTTATTGACCATTCAAAGTTACAACCGCACTGAAAAAATGATTATGATCAGTCCTCGCATTTATGACCATTGCCACGTTCCCACACTTACATGATAAAATTTGGGCACTTGGCACAACCAGAGTATATATGATGGTCCCAGGTGCACATGATCCCCATATGTGACGTTTTTAACTGGCTTCCAACTAAGTTGTAAAATTGGATGTGTCTCACTTAACAATCGCCTCGCTTAACGATAGATGTTGGGCTCCCAATAGTGGTCATAAGTCAAGGACTACCTGTATTGGTTAATAGGATTTCTGTGTTACTTTAAAAAAAATATTAAAGTTTAACAATTTTAAAAACAAATCATATATACAATTTTTGAAGTAAGTTGTGGCATTGACTTTTCCATATTCATTTACACACACACACACACACACACACACACACACACACACACACGTACATCAATTACATTTACATTTTGCATTGTCTTTTATTCCTGTTATCTAACCAAACATCCCATTTCCCCTAACCATATAATATTCTTTTTCTTCCTTCTCCTGCAATTCCATTGTAAGTTTATTCATTTCCGCACAATCCATAGTTTTTTTTATTAGCATATTATCTGTGGGACTACTCTCTGATTTCCAGTTTTGAGCATAGGTTATTCTAGCTGCTGTCAATATGTGTATTATTCACTATTCAATTTCTTTCTTATAATCACCTCTAATTATCCCTAATAGGAACATTTCAGGCTTAAGTTCTATTTTTCCCCGGTTATTTCTTGAAGCCAAATCCTTATTTTGTTCCAAAATTTCTTTGCTTTAGAGCACAACCACCACATATGAAAGAAGGTGCCTTTCCAACACGTCAAGTTCAAATTTGGGTAGACTTTGGCCAATCTCGCTGGTGCTAGATGACCACAGTAGAACATTTTGTACAGATTTTCTTTGTACGTGGCTGCCATTGTTAATTTATAACTTTTCATCCAAAGTTTTTCCCAATCCTCTAGTTGAATGTTGTATCTGAAGTTTTTCATCCAGGCAATCATTGTTTGAGTCACTGCCTCCTCTTCTTTATCAAATTTTAGGAGATAGTTATATATTTTAGATATAAATTTTTCCTTTGGTCCTAATAAAATTTTGTCGATTTGTTGTGGATCTATGCCACTTTTTCTCTGGGACACCAAGCCAGTGTCTAACAAAATAAGGGAAGAGAAATATTAAAGCAAAGCACGAAAAAGAATAAAAATGGATATTTAAAAATCTGCCTCAAAGTATTTTAAAAAGAGATTCTTTTGTTCCTTTTTAAAATGAAAAGAGATAAGAGGATGTTGGTGATAAAAGAGAAAATTTGTTTTACATCCTCTTAAGCTTGGACTCTGTGAAAGAGCCTCTCTGGGCAAAAGTATATTCTCAGATCAAATAATATGGATTTTAAAACTGCATCAGGAAACCCCCTAAAATAGGTTTTCAGTCCTGCCAGCTATGGTGAATGATATCTTATTTGCTGCAAAAAGTTTGCTAGAACAGAAAAAGAAAATGATTGACTTCTGTCTTTTTAATATTAATTAATACTATGATTGTACATCGCCTGGAATTATTTGAGTTGTGAAACACGCAGGTACACAACACCTTCACGCAAACACACATACAGACATACACACCCACACAGCACATACATATATACTTTGTGATCATATTTATTGTAAAATAAACAAAAAGAAAAATAAACGAAACAAGGAGAAACTGTTTAAATTATGCAGCCTAAAGAAACGGCTCTGAAATCGGGACCCTGCGAGATCATCCGACTGGTTTAAGTTGCCACAATCTCCACTGTCATGAAGCTAAAAATGGGGTGCAATATTACAGATAAATAAACTAAAGCCATTTGGTATTTTGACAATATGGCTGAAACATCCTTCTGTGAGCCCATCCGCTCTTTGTTGTCCGCCCTCAAATCTTGACTTGTAAAATAACATTTTCACCACTTTGGAATTTTTCAGCCTGTTTTGTGCTGGGGAAAAAAAATATAGATTCCTTTGGCCGACTTTAGGATGAAGTGCCACCATTAAAAAAAAAAAAGGAGAAGGAGAAACAAAGGAGAAATTTAAGATAAAGCATGTCATCTTTTTTTTCTATTCGTCACGATGAATCTTCTTCGGCTTCAACAAGGGGGAAAATGCGCTATTGTTAAAACTTTTTCATTGTGGTAGCTTTTATCAGGTACCGGGAATATTTTCCTTGTAATTGGGCCAATCTTAATAGTCGCAATTGCATATTTATCAGTGTGAGACGCTGTTAATAATGTAGCTGTCATGCACAAACACATTTCTGCATGAAATCCATTTAGTCCCCGCATTGTTCGGGCCTGGAATGTCACCGGGACATCAAAACCCTCCCTTCGAGCCTCCAGCCCAGAGGCCTGCAGCGGCAGGAGAAAAGGGCCGGGATCAATAAATGTAACATGTTAATGCCAAGCAAATAGAATAAAAGATTTTCTCTGACAAGCGATGAAAAATCACCTTGTGTCAGCTGGCATGGCGGTGCCATTTCTGCGGAGACACTTGAAAACTTGATCTGACAAGGAAAGAGGGAGAGATGATGGTTATAAGATGCTTTTGTTTCCAACTTCTTCTTCTTCTTCTTCTTTTTTTTTTTTTGACCTGTCAGGCTTTTGAATTGGTTCCCCCCCCCCCTTTTTTTTTTTGTCATGTGAAAATTGTAGTCTGAGGAAGTTTGGAAGCCGTTTCTCTGCTCAAATGGGTGAAGGCTGCTGTTTAATTGATTCACTTAGCATTTGAAACTGTCACGCATTAATAATTGCTAAATCCGGTAGGTGCTCTCTGATGTGTCACACTTAAATGTGTAGTTATCAGAAAATTAATATCCTTAATGAACCAACACTTCAGAGTAGCATTGCGTGAAATTCTCCTTTTGCCCTTTCATTTCCTGAATGTATTCCAGCCAATTTTTGGAGAGAATCCTTTCCCCGGGGCTGGATTTTCTTTCTTTCTGATGCCCAACAATTGCCTCGTTGCTTTGGGTACACAGTGTGTTAAGTGACAAATGCAGTAATTATACTGGAGTTAGTAATTAACATAATTATAGTCAATTATGACAAATACAGTACAGAGAGAAATAAATGGGGAGGGGGGAGAAATTAGCAGGCTAATTGATTTATCTTTTTATGTTGTTGCAACTGGCAATTGTAATCCTGTTCGTTCCCTGGGAAATAAGAGCAATGTTTACATGTAGGGCATTTTGTTGTGAACTGGTCCTCGGCTCATGTTTACCTACAGTATTCCTTTCTTTCTTCTTCTTCTTCTTCTTCTTCTTCTTCTTCTTCTTCTTCTTCTT